GCAGCTGGTCTAGACATCCTCTTGCTTCCTTTTGGCAGCCCTTCTGCTCTATCGGGAATGCTCTTGTTCTATCTGCAAAAGTGTAGATCTTTCAGCCAGCACACCTGTATACAAAGCTTGTATACTGTGTTTAGACTAGGGATGGGTCTGCAGTTTTTTGGCTTATCTGTCTCTCTTGTCCTCGGTAGCAAGTAGGTCACGCCGCGGATGGCCCATTCCGGATATTCTGGACCTTCCATTAGTTTAACTAATGCTTTGGCTGTGGGCCTGTGTAGGGGTCGGAACTGCTTTAACCAATAGTTATGCACTTTATCTGGTCCTGGAGCCTTCCAGTTTGTTACTTTTACCAATGAGGCTTGCTGCCTCCGTCTCTGTTATTTCCTTCGTAACGGCATGTTTTGACTTCAGATTAGGATTCTATGCGAAAAGTTACATGGAGCTGCTACAGTATATCGATGGTGAGCTGCAAAAATGCATATCTCATTTTGCGGTGTCTAGACTTCAAGTCATACTTTATTTTCTACATCAAAAATTATTGAATGTCATTTCTCAGAGACTCTGGTGACTTTTCTCATCTGTTTGAAGAATCATCAGTAAAAATCTCAAGCGATGATTTCGGGTTTGGTTTCTTTCTAAAATATAAAATATGAGCGGAGATTTTGGGACACTGCCGAAGTGCAGATACGCATTTTTGCAGTATCACCGTCGATGCCCCAAATTACCTTACGACCTTTTTTCCTCCAAAAATACACGGCGTTTTATGGGAAAATGAGATTGTAAGCTAGCTGATTTGGGACTAATACATCATACGCCGTATCAGTTGTGAGTAACTTTTTGCGTGCAATCTAAATCTGAATCAAAACATGTCCTTGCTGTTGGAAGTTTTTGACTCATGGCCCTCCAAAGCCCCGAAATTTTCCGGGGAGTCGTGGGCCCCATAAATTAAGGTCAACAGGGGTCGTAAGGTACCATAAGAAAAAAGTATTGATCTCTTACCAGTTACCACTACTTAAAATGTCTTAGACCTCCTAAAAATTTCATTTTTGGTGACAGGTCATTCTAGCGTTCTGCTGAGCCCGATTTTCATGATTACTGTGGCTATCGATATGTCATTGTTCCTAGATGTACCCGCTTTATTTGCATTTTCAAAATATAACACAGGTTTTTAATATTAGGGTCGACCAGGGAGCTAGCCAAAGTAAGGGGCAATAAATAAAAGTTGAAATTCCCAGAACGACTAGTATTTTTATAAGATTGATGACATCTTTAAAAAAAAACCCTTTCCAGCCACAGTGAAAATGGAAAGTAGATTTGACTAATCGTTTCTATGAAAACAGTTGCGCCTAATGAGCCTGACAGGTCGAAAAATCGTCCCCCTTGAACTTGAGATTTTCAAGATAAAGGGCGGTTTTTAGAGGGTAGGTGAAAAGAGGTTGTTTTGAAGGCCACGATCAGGCGAGTTTTTTGAGGTATCACCAAATAAGATCGGACGAGTTCGAAAAATCATCCCCCTTTGGACTTGATATTTTCTGGATAAGGGGTGGTTTTAGAGGGTAGGTGAATATAGGTTGTTTTGAAGGCCATAATGAGACGAGATTTTGAGGTATCACCGAGTAAGATCGGACGAGTTCGAAAAATCATCCCCCGGTGACCTTAACGTTACTGAACTACGTCAAGAACACTGGGGGATTTTATTTTTTGCTTTCTCCTTTCAATGAGGATTCAGTGCTTAATAGGCCACAAGAAAACAAACGGATTCGATTTTTGATCATTAATGGTCGGGAAAACTACGTTAGAATTCTGTAGCAATAAATATACATGACAGCAGATTGCATCCTCACCTCCTTAACATACATTCCTTCATTTTCAAACATTTCCCACACTCGTAAATATGTGAAATGTCACTGAAATTGCTATTCTTTCAAAACGTCAAATTCCATTTTGCAACCCTGGCAATGAAACAAACCATGGAAAGCCGCAATCTCTCTCCATCTATACTATAAGCTGCGAGACCTCCTAAATTTGCATGACTGGTAACGCTTTTCCAGCGTTCTACCGGGTCGATTTTCATGATTTTTGCGGCTATCGACATGCGCTTGTCTCTGGATGACCTAGCTCTATTCAGATTTTGGAAATATGACCCAGGTTTTTTTTTTTTTTTTTTTTTTTTTTTTTATATTTCGTGGTGAAGTTGCGAATTCTCCCATTAAACAAAGTAAATCTTTATTTTTTGTCACAGTTCGTTTGAACGTTCTACTGGGTCGATTTCCATGATTTTTGCGGTTATTGTGATAGTCCCTAAATGAGCCCACATTAATCAGATTTTGGAAAAAGGACTCAGGTTTTCTTGTAAAAGAGTGGACCAAGGAGCTGAAAAAGCGGACATAGTTGATTGAAATTCCCACGACTGAAAAATGGCTGGAATTCCAAATTTAGCGGAAAATTGAACAAAACGGGAAATGTTAAAACTGGGTCTGTTAGTAGGGTAAGGTAAGTGAATTGAAGGTGTGTTCCTTTGCCATAGACTATCAAAAAGCGACAAAACGCTTCGTCCCGTTTCCTTTCAGTCTTGGCGTGAAGTTAGAAATTAATGCGGATTTTTTTATTCGATTCTGATTGGTGCAATCGCTCCTGGCCAGAGGGAGGTTGTACAAATGGGAGTCGGGTATTAAAATCGTTTCATTTTTTTGTCCGTTTTTTTGTCGAAGCGGGCCTTAAAGAGCGCGCAGCGCCCTCCAGGGGGCCTGGGGGTTGGGCCGCGTAGCGGCCAAGGGCCCCCTGGTATCGTGTAAGTAGCAATCCGAGTGCATGCTGTTAGGATACTTGATTGATTCTCAGTCCGTCATCTCGGCTACCGACCTTCAATTGAAGACAGTTAAGCCACGCTCGGACCTGATACGATTCCTCTATAAAAGACAAAAGGTCTAGTCTAGTCTAGTAGACTTTTTCACCGTCTTCCTATATGGACTCATTTAGTCATGATGTCACAGTCAGCCTTGCTTCCTTCGACCATGGTCTCTAGTTCCAAACAATCGGCTGTCTTTATTGCACTCACGGCGTTTCCCTGTAAAGCATGACTTTCAAATTTCAAATTGAATTGTCGCCCGGAATCTCAAATTTTTTGTCGGTAAGTTTCACCTGAATTATTGCAGTCGAGAACAGGTCTAATATCATCAGTGTGTCAGTGTATTCGGAGAACTTAATAACACCTTAGGGCATATGTTTTCTGTGAAGGAAGCTAACTCTGCATCTCCATTCAACGCTTTCTCTTTTTTAGATTCCTTCTAAATTTCCCAATAAAATGGGATGGTACTTATAAATTAAAAGAGCTTGGAAAAAACCAATTGTAATTATTATAGAGTTGGCTCGAAATGGATTTACCGCGTCACCGGCTATGGATATCGATTTTTTGTATCCAGCCGGAGCCGGATACTGGATACTTCGCCAAGGTATCCGGCCGGAACCGGATAATACCGGATCCCGTTAGTGCTTTTTCGCGTGAGAAAAATCTCCCGATTTCGCACAGAGACAAGAGGCACACTGTGGATTACACCATCAAGACCGTTATCCACGATGTATGTCCCTTCGCACCGGCAACCTCCATATTGTTCAATGATACGCTATGAGTCGGCCCGCTAAAACGAATACTTAACAATTTTCAACACTACCGATTTCAGAAACAGATCTTCATTCCTCTTCTTTCTCAGGTAATATTTCCTACTGATAATGGTGGACTTGTACGCTGCTTCTATCTGTCTCAACCCTCTTCCTCCCAGTTTTCTGCTGACGTAGAGTCGGTTAACATCTGCGGATGGGTGGTGCATTTTGTACACTGTCAGATATTTTCTTGTTTGGACGTAAATTGTAATAATAAATTAATATCATGGAGAAGGTATTTTCTATAAAAATTCGTGGGTAGTATATATACTCTAACCGCAGAAAATAGAAGTTGATAATAATGGAAGATTTAATTTTAAAGATATCCCTTTACAATCTACTGGCTGAGGAAAAATCGTAAAATAACTTTTACGAGGCTTCAAAATGTGCCTCTCAGCGTAATTTCATGGTGCCAGAGGGCCACTTTTGAAGCCCCACCCTATGGCCGCATGTACTTAAATTTGTCTGTCAACATGGCATAAATATGTCTATATTCAAGGATAGTGCACAAAGAGATGGTTAGATAACGGATTAAACACTTTTGCAAGACTTTAAAGTGAACCTCTCATCCGCTTTTAAATTATTTTTTGTATCCCTCTTTCAGGGGCGCAGGGGCTAGAGGAACAGGTTGCGTGACCAAACATCACCCAATTTGGCACTGAATGGGTCACAGCTGTTGGAAAAATACAATTTCAGTTGTTAGTATCGACATAATTTTTCTCATTCATGTTCGTGAAAATCGCTCATAAGTCCATCTTGAAGGTCAAAAACTTCAATTTCCTCAGTTTTCCTCAGTCAGTCACCCCTGAATCCTGAAAATACCCACTTTGGACTACATATAACATTCCGCCTTAAACCGCTTGAGCGCAGTTGAGCGCAAAAAGAGATCGGACTCTGAATTTCGAAAAAAACGTTTACTTTTACATCACTTTTCAACCTCCTGTGAAAATCATTAAAAAAGGAAATTTCGAAAATACTGTAGTTAGTTGTGTAGAATATACCTCCAAGAATGTGTTGCATATCGCCGAACTTCCCTCCTATGTTCGCACAGTTGAAGTAAACTGATCGACGAGTAGCGCGCCGAAACGTATCAAAATAATCGCTGAGAAATAGGTAACTTCGTGGTCTCTTCGCGGGAAATTGAGCCACTCGAAAAAAGGCAGATACATATCTACTGGAGTAAATAACAGTGTAGATTTCGAACATCACATTCGTTTTCCAAAAGAAAATAATTTAAAACTGAGGTTTTGGCCATGTTTTTCGGTCAAATACCACAGTGTGGGGCGTAGCCCCATAGTTATACATACGGTCCTCATCAGCTCCTCAAATAAAGAAGTTCTTACCTTTGGTATGTTCCTTGTCTAAATTGACGACCGATTTTTTCCACTCTTCTAGTTTGTCTTGTAAAGGATTCACTAAACAATCGACTATTGCGCTGGAACAGAGCAAAAAAACTTTCGTCAGTCGAAACGGAGCACTCGTCCATATTTCTAACAAACAAATGATCCTTGTCGAAACAAATAATCTCGACCTTATTTGCGTATTACTTACGGAATCGTTATGGTATTTACTCTCTTTTTCAAGCAATAATTCATTCATTTGATTCTCTCCGTAGATGATCCTGGCGAGCAGATAAACTTTTACAGCCCTCCTTCTCTTCCTCAATTTTGAGTTTACGGACACAAAATACGTCCGAATCTTGTACTATTATGAGCCGGCAAGAGACAATTTTGTGCCTCGGAAGTAAGGAGTAAGATGACACTCAAAATTGGAGAGCTAAACGGCAGCCCCCTCCCTCATTCATTTGAAAGGAAAACTTATCAAATAAAAATGTAAAACTCACTCGCACGTAAAAATTAGTTAAAATGCGTCGCGCTGAGGATGCCGGAGTTGCGAGCCGGCGAAACGCGTCCGCATTTTAACTAATTTTTACGTGCAAGTGAGTTTTACAATTTTATTTGATCAATTATCTTGTGCAGGTCTCCAAACGAATCTTGAGGGAAACTCATGTGCTCATTTTGTGAACTCTTCTGCCGCACAAATTGAATTATGTGCTGCAGGACTGGGGGGGAGAACAGCACAACAAATCGGGCGGAGGCAGAGGAAATATTATAGCCACCACCCACTCCCCCTTTCCGAATTCATGAAAAAAAAGGATGATTGCTATAACTTTGTGTTACTTTGAGTGAAAAGAAAAAACTAATGTTTGGAAAATTGAAAAGGTAAAGCGACCTTACAAATCAGGAGGGCCGTGGAAATGCTAGCCCCCCTTTCGATATCTTAAAAATTAGGTATGTCATGATATGCTGCTAATTTTATGCTGTTTAGGAAGTACTTTTTGTGCCGCAAGAACAACAATTTTTCTGCAAAACTATGGGGTAAGTAACTTATAAACTACAAAAACCCTCAAAAACATTTTCGGGCAAAAAATCCGGTCGAGGAAATTGACGTGTTACATCTTATTAACCAAAAAAATTCCCTTTCACCCCTCCAAGAAGGTTGATAAAACTAAGTAAGTAACTATGAGATGGCAAAAAGCTCTCTTAAATTCTCAGGGTCCATCAAGGCCACATATGTCCAAAAACTTACTCTATATGGTTTAAAAAAAA